CCCCCACCCCCCCCACGCCCCGCCACCACCCCGCACCTCTCCTCATCGGCCCTCTGGTTTCTTGGCAAGGCTCTGCCAAGATCATCAGCCCAGGGCCGTGGCCAGCAGCCCAGAAAACCCCATTTCCATCCTTCAGTACCTGTCTGGAGCCTTGGCAGAGTCGGGGAAGGCTGACAGCAAGAGCTCAGGGCTCGGCAGTGAGTCCCAGACCTCCCGCTCTGGGAGGGCAACTGACAGGGCGCCAGCCGTGAGTAGAACCTGCATTAGGCACTGTGATAAAAGACAGAATTGTTTGCTGATTGGCTAAGAAGCTGCTATTGTTAGCTACGGGGGATATATCAGTGCACATAACTGGCAAACATTCCCACCCTTGGGGAGCTCGCGCTCTAGTGCATAGAGAGAGACAAAAAAGAGAGAGAAAATGTTAAATATTTTTAAGGGTGTTTTCTCTTTTTTGAGAGACAGAGACAGAGACAGCACAAGTGGGGAGGGGCAGAGAGAGAGAGAGAGAGAGAGAGAATATCCCAAGCAGGCCCCATACTGCCAGCGCAGAGCCTGCTGTGGGGCTCGAACCCATGAAGCCGTGAGATCGTGACCTGAGCCGAAAGCAAGTGGCGGACACTTAACCGAATGAGTCACCCAGGAGGTCAAAAATGTTAGATATTTTTAAATGTTATGGAGAAATATAATGCAGGGAAAGGGATAGAAAGTGTATGTAAGAGACACAGGCAAATAATTAAAGTGAACGGTTATTAAAGATAACGTCTTCAAATTATGATTACATGGGATTTCTGGAATTTAATGAAGGGAATCTATAAAAAAATAAGAAAAAAATAATAATGAACAATTTAAAGTTTACTCTCTGAGGGGCGCCTGGGTGGCTCAGTCAGTTGAGCATCCAACATCGGCCTGGGTCATGATATCCCGGTTCGTGGGTTCGAGCCCCACGTTGGACTCCTTGCTGACAACTTGGAGCCTGGAGCCTGCTTCAGATTCTGTGTCTCCCTCTCTCTCTGCCCCTCCCCTATTCGCACTCTTCTGTCTCTCTCTCTCTCTCTCTCTCTCTCTCTCTCTCAAAAATAACAATTAAAACGCTATAAATAGGGACACCTAGGTGACTAAGTCAGTTAAGCATCCAACTTCAGCTCGGGTCATGATCTCGCAGCTTGTGAATTTGAGCCCCACATCGTGCTCTGTGCTGACAGCTCAGAGCCTGGAGCCTGCTTCGGATTCTTGTGTCTCCTTTTCTCTCTACCCCTCTCCCGCTCATACTCTGTCGCTCTCTCTCTCTCTCAAAAATAAATAAAAACATTATACAATTTTTAAAGGGTATAAATAAAGTTTACTCTCTGAAATGAAGACAAAAATAAAGATGTTCACTGTCACATCTAATTAACATGGTACTAAAATACCCAGCTAGAAAAAACAAGGCCACACAAATAATGTGTATTTTTTAAAGGTATAAAATCTGGAAGGGCACCACTTGCCCTTTATAACCAGGAACAAAGTAGGACAAACTACAAATTAATGATCTTGAACTCATGAAGGCGCTGAGGTCACAGGGCTAAGAACGGACCTCACATTCAGAATAGGACAGATCCCTTCGGTCAGCAATAGAACGTTTATTTGCTTAGGGCGGACACTGATCAATACCATATACACTGAAGAAAATATTAATTTAAAATTTTGTTTTAACAAAACCCACTGCAAATAAAAATAGATTAAAAATGAGTATGTTCAAAAAAAAAAAAAGATAAGCTATGTAAACGCCAATCAAAAAGAGCAGGACCGGTTGAATTAATTAAAAAAAAAAAAAGTAAGCTTCAGGGAAAAAGAGGGAATATTATCAGGGAGAAAGAGAGACATTACATTCTGATAAAAGGGTCAGCTCTTCAAAAAGGCATCACAGTCCTAGGGGTGTATCTGCTTAAATAACAGCGCTTCAAAGCAGTTGAGAGAAACCGATGCATCTAAAAGGGAAAATGGATAGATCCACAGTTACAGTTGGAAATTGCAACATTGCTTTCTAGAACAAAGAAAAGAGAAAGTGCCAGGGACCGGGCTGCATATTTTAATAGGGTAGTCAGTGAGGACTCCATCTGAGAAGGTGACGTTTGAGTGGGGATCGAAAGAAGAGAGTGGGCTTTGCAGATATCTGGAAGAAGAGCCTTCCAGGCAGAAGGGACAGCAAGCGCAAAGGCCCTGAGGCAGGAGCATGCATGCCTGGCAATGAGGGAGCCGGGATGGCTGGAGTGGTATGAGCGAGGATAGAATAAGCAAGAGAAATAAAAATGAAATGTCTGTTGGAGACAGGATTTATGGCAGGAAGGAATGAGCTATTCAGGGGAGGAAGCCCGTGACAAGGGGTAGGTTCAGAAAAGGTTGAGGAGAGGGAACTCCAGAGAAGGCAGTGGGACATTCTAGGCAAAGAGAGGAGCGTGTGCAAAGGCAAGCAAGTCTGAGGTGGTTCATCATGTCCAAGCATGAAGCTCCAGTTGCCAGAGCAGAAATAGGGCAGGGGCCAGGAATGAGGCTGTGGAAGTCAGCTGCAGCCGGATCGAGAAGGGCAGAGACGCAACAAGAGACAGGAGGTCTTGAAGAACCATCAGAGAAGGTCGGGAGGATCAGGAGGTTGTGGTGAGAGAGCGGGTGATGGGGTTCGAGGTTCGAGAGGTACGGCAGTTCTGGGTACCGGCAAAGGGTGGGGAGCGGTTGCATCAGAGGGTGAGTGGGGTGGCATGCCTCCAGGGTGGCCGCAGGACTTGGGGATGGGAGGAAGACCGACCAGGGCCTGCGTCTGTCCTCACGATCAGTCTCAGGATGTTTGGGACCCCCCACAGTGGGGAGCCTCAGCTGCGTGGGATGTGGGAGAATAAGCTGTCACCACTGGGGGACGCGGCAAGCGAAACCCGTCTGGGCTAGGCAGGTGCCAGCCGCTCTTCCTTTTCCTTCTCCTCCAAGCAGCCCTCTGGGATTGCTCCCCGAAATGTACTGGTACTTCCCTGGCAGTTGGTTCCAGGCGGCCCTGATGGGCAGGGCCTGTGTAGAGCCGAGGAGGCAGACTACAGGAAGGGAAAGCCCCCATGGTTTCTGTCTCACTGCAGGGACCCAACAGGGAAACCCCACGGATCCCAAAAGGAAAGTGGGCCTCGGGGAAGACCAAGAAACCCCCATCGTGTCCCTGAAGATGGAAAATCCAGGGTGGGGTGAAGGGTGGAACCGTGCTGGAAGGGAGACCTGTCGTTGAGGCAGCCTAGCCCTGACAGCCATCCACAGAGCAGAAACACACAGGGCAGGATTACTCTGGGACCTGGCTGAGCCCCATCCTGACCTCACACAACCCCAACCTGGTGAGCTCTGACCCTGGTCACCGAGGGAGCTCTTATCCCAGCCCAGACCTGAGCCCTGACCTGAGTCACAGTCTCTGTCAGAAGCTCGGCCACAGCCTGAGCTCTGGGCCCAATCTGGACTGAGGTCTAAGCTCAACCCCGATGGGTCCCAAGCAGAGCCTCCGGGTCATTGACGGCTCTGACCCCAAACACAGACAGAGCTAGGATGTTGGCCCTAGACAAAGTTCTAGACCAAGTCCGGCCCTAGTAGACCAAGTCCTGATCATGGTTACAGACTGAGATCTAATCCCAGATCTTACCCTCGGCCCATTCTCACCTGCCCTGCCCCTGCCTGTAGACTGAGCCCTGCCCCTGCCCGGACTGGGGCCCCACTGCTCCACACAAAGCCCCCCTCCCAGCCCCCCCCCCCCCGGCGACTTCCCCACTTCCTTCGCACTCCCTCACTCAGCCATCTGGTAAACCAGAAAAGAGTAGGATGACTCAAAACCCCAAGTCCTCTCCGATGGGCAATCCCCTTACCTGGCCGTCCATCTTTTGCCAGACAGTGAGCTGGTGATGGCATAGGATGATGATGACAGAGCAGAGGAACAGGAGGGGTTGAGGGTCCAGGACCCATCACCAGCCCCTAGAGCAGTGACTTACCCGGGAGAGGGGATGCGAGGGGAGGAAATGTCCTAGGAGCTCAGCGGGGGGTCCGGAGCTTGGATTGACCGAAACCCTAGCTTCCCGCCACCCCCTCCACCCCCCCCCCTGCACCTCCCGCCCCCTCTGGGAAGGGAAATGACATTTCCCCATTTCAGCAAGGGGTGGTGAGGAGGGAAGACTGAGCGCAAAGCCGAAAGTACAAGCAGGACGGAAAGTGAAACCGGCGCAGCCCCCAGTATAAGACCCCTGCCCGGGAGATGGCTGGCCACACAGGCTGGGCCCCGCCATGGGCCAGATGGCAGGCGACCTTGGCTGGCGTGAGTTTGAGGCCAGGGCCGGGGGGCGGAGGGGGTGGCAAGCTTGGCTGAGACTGGGCAGGGGGTGGGAGGGCTTGACTGGTGTGGATGGGGGCCGGGGGCCGAGGGACAGCTACTGGGTCAAGACTAAGGATACAGGATACAGTCGACCGGAGGATAGGAATGAGGCTGGCGTGAATGAGGGTGATGGTTTGATCAGGGCTGGGCAGCGGATGGGAAGCCTTGACCGGCCCGGATGGGGAGAGGCGGGCAGCCAGTTTGACCAGGACCAGGACCAGGAGTTTGGCTGGAGCGACTGAGCGGGGACGGGACAGTTTGGCTGAGAACCGGGGCTGGGAGAGGAAGGAGGGCAGGAGGAGTGGGCTGGAGTGTGGGGCGGGGGCCAAGGTGGCGGCGGCCTAACTGGGTCAAGGGTCTATAGCTTGCAAGGAGGTCCAATCCACAGTGGGCGACTCAAGGACACAGAGACACAGAAGGAAGAGCAGATGGTAGGGCCATAGTAGGGACCAAGGGCCGGAGAACGGGTAGAGAGCCAGAGCCAAGGAGCTGGGATTGCGTGCAGAGCGTAGGGAGAAGCCAAGGGAAGGGTCTGGGGTCCCAGAGCTCAGACAGGAAGCCCTAGAAAGTGGCCCAGCTCGATTTGGGGTGGCAATATCCACCAGAGCCTGGGGTACTCACTTTCCCTCAACACGGAGCTGAGAAGAACCCCACTCTGCCTGAAGTCCCTGGGATGTGGTCCCTAAACCAGGGAGCCTGGATGCTAGGGGACCCAGGGACCACCCACCACCTCTAGAAGTACATTGGCCGGTGAAGGACCCAGAAGCTCTCCTTCACCTTTACGTACAGGACATTTCGGGAAGCAGAGCCCAGGCGTTAGAAATCAAGAATGGACAAGGGAGAAGCATGGAGAGGAGGGTGAGCGGGAACAGACAGACTTACAGCTTAGTTTTGGTTTGTGTTTCGAGGAGAATTGTGTAACTCCATGATTGCTAGATTTCCTCTCCCTGATGGAGAAACCACCGAACCCTGGCCTCTTCCCAGACCCCCCACCCTAGGGCCCCTCTCTCTTCTGTCCAGGAAACATAGGCCGGAAATACTTTCAGAAACCAGCTGGCCTGACTACCCCATTTTACGGATGGGAACCTGAGGCACAGAGATAAGAGGCGACTCATCTCATCCAGGGAAGGACCTGGACGAGAAACAGAGGTTATGCCTCCCATCCCAGGCCCCCTTCCTCCCCCTGGCACCCCCTGTTCTTCTGACACTGCAGAGTGACCCATCGGCCTCGGTGGTGGCTGGACCAATCTGTCCTTCTGACTCTCCGAGGTAGAGTCTCCAGCACTGCCCGCCCACCCCTGGGGCTCCAGTTCAGGCCATCAGAGCCGCCTGGCTAAGCCCCAGGAATCTTCGGCAGAACAGAGTGCCCACTCCAGGGGAGGTGGCTGCCTCATCTGAGTTCCCTGCGGGGGAAGCACGCAGGATCTGCATTTGGGCAGATCTGGAATCCAGTCCTGGTTCCCTCCCCCTCTCGCCACGCCACCCTGGGCTAGTCAGCCTCACATTTTCCTCATCTGCAAAATGCACGGATGATAGCCCCCAGGCTGCCACATACCGTTGAGCGGTTGGTTCACCGAAAAAGACACTTAGCCAAGGGAGTTAGTGAGGGGCCGAGATGGAGCCTGAGATCTGCTTGCGAATGTGGGCCTTCTGTGTAAGGCCGTGTCCGCCTCGGAGAAGGGGTACCTTCCTTTCGTTCAGACAGAGATGCCGTATGGTGTCCTCGATAGCTTCCATGTTATTAGTGGCCTTGCGGGGTCAGCAAAATGGCACACAGGCTTTGCCTACAGCACAGGCTCAGAAGGGGCATGTTGAGTTCTTCTCGAGCTTTCCCCCCACCTGGCCCACCATCTCCCCCCCCTCTCCAGGGCTCAGCCTCTTGTTGCTCTCCTTGCTCCTGGCTCGTGCTGGTGTTTGGGGATTCCCGAGGCCGCCAGGGAGGCCCCCCCTGAGCCTGCAGGAGCTGCGGAGGGAGTTCAAGGTCAGCCTGCACCTCGCCAGGAAGCTGTTCTCCGAGGTTCGGACCCAGGCCCACCGCTTTGTGAGTCTCTCTCTGATGCAGCTGGCTTTGGGGACGGGCGAATCCCCAATCCCTCTGGCCCCCCCACTAACAGATCTTGCCCCACAGGCTGAATCTCACCTGCCAGGAGTGAGCCTGGACCTCCTGCCCCTGGGAGATCAGCTCCCCAATGTCTCCCTGACCTTCCAGGCCTGGCACAGCCTCTCTGTGAGTTGGGGGCCGGTGGGGTGGGGCAGGAGAGCTGGCAGCAAGGCCGGGCCGGGTGGATGGTGATGAAGTCAGGGGATTGAATGGAAAATGGATTTGGGGGTGAATGGAGGAATTGGATCCGGATGAGGCTTGGCATGTCGCCGGATATAAAGATCCAGCTGGAATAAAGAAGTCATGTCAGAATGAGGCTGCACATACGGAGGAGGGATGGCGTGGGATTAGTGTGGGAAGGAGGTTGGAGACAGGATAAAAACACAAGTGAAGCCATGGACGTGAAACGGAGGGGGGCGCCTGGGTGGCTCAGCCGGTTAAGCGTCCAACTCTTGATCTCGGCTCAGGTCACGACCTCACGGTTCCTGAGATGGAGCCCCCAGTCTGCTGTTAGCACAGAGTCTGCTTAGGGTTCCCTCTCCCTCTCTCTCTCTGTCCCTCC